GCCTACACTCCCCCAGTACAAAAGGTACCTTCCGGCTAAGCGCGAACTTACTACAGGCTGAAGTTACACGGAAGTGAAGTAACACTAAGCCGTAAGAGCAGTCTCTCCATTTGCTTATTCTGTTCACACAGTGTCTGTATCTATAATAAGAGTTGTTTGCGAAATATGGAGAAGTTTGAGAAGCATAAGGGTTTTTAATTTATTGCTGATCGTTCAGTTTCTTCTGAAATACGTTTCGAGTCAAATATGCAGACCACTCACTTATCGCATGATCGGTTACTGCGAAACTTAAAACCATCGATGCAGATGGACTTGAAGTTTATTTCAAATGAATTGACATCCATCTCAACAACCTCCCGCAAACAAACACTGTGGAATCTGTAGTTGCAAAAGTACCTATTTAAATCTTAACCAGGCAGTTTATTCCATTTCTGGACTTATCTTGCTTTCGTTTCTCAGAGTATTGTTAGAGATATTTCTTGTCAGGGCTTTTATGTTGCCGAGCTTCTGTAGCCACGTTTCAAACTGACTGGTCAAGATAGTAATGATGAAACATAGGTCCTTATTTACCCCATTTATTTTTTTTCAACTGATATCCTTAATAACAACAGAAATAAAATGGGGTATAAGCAGTACAAATGGTGCGTTTAAACATACATTTCCTACGTATTGTTTGACAGACAAACGATGAGAATTAATAAAAGGATATACTGCAGTACAGTAAATATTTTCGTGGTCTGGTGTGTACCTTCGTTAGGTCATGCGTTTTTCCAACCTTATTTCTCTCTATCCCGCATTCCACACTTAAGTTAACTGCTACTGTGGATGAGGTAAACATATTTCAGCTACTAATATTGGTATGTTTTTCCCCTTTAGTCACCTGGATCTTATTCTGCTCCAAGCGTATTTACTTCTTTAGTAGCGTTCTACAGAGATCATTTTAATTATTCCATTACCCCTTTAAAATGATATGGTTTTATTGGTCACAGAGTTTGTGCTTTATGTTGTTATAAGATCACTCTAGACCTTTCTGACAACACCAGGGGGAACTAATATTCGTCAATTTCGGTAGGCGAAAACATCCCACCATATTGTGGCGATTTTCAATCATCTTCAACTAGTAACTTCCGAATACCACATCACATCTCCATGAAACATACTAATCACACATAACCGATACGCACCGGCGTTGTCACAAATTGTGTGAAAGTCATGTGCTTGATAGAATTCAGTTGTATATTGTCTCATGTCTAGATCAGTTCGCGTTTACTATATATGCATTTAAGCGAAACACATGGGACATGTGTTACGTATGGCTGACCACCGACTGCCTCAACGAGCTATGTTTTGTGGTGTAGGAGTAGGTTGGAAGAAAGCTAGGGGCGGCCAGACCAAAACATGGCAGAAATCCATGAAATCACTGACAAGTGGACTGAGTCATGTTAGTAGATATAGGCTACCTGGTTGGAGTCCGCGAGACGAAAGTCACCAATGAATACAGACCTTGAACGACATGGCTCAAAATCGTTCGCAATAGCTCAGGTGGATCCATTTGTTGTGCTCTCTCAAATCCTAATCTTCTGGATTCGTCAGCACCTCTACCTTTGTATCTCACTGAATCATACTTCTTGAATAATATCTTCAAACCCTAGTCTTCTTCATTAGCATCAATACCTCTACTATCTTTATCACTATGGGATATGATTTGACATCTGCGTCTCTGTGCTAATGTGGTATGGGAACATGAACTTATGTACGTAGTTCTACGTTTGCAACTGACTGACTGAACACATGTCCCAACCACCTCAACTGATGAAGTTTCAATACTTTATCTATTGATCTACTATCCTTACCTAGCACCCGTATCCTAACAACAACACTGCTTACTCGGTTGTCCCAGGATACACGGACAACTATGATCGAAAACAAGCATATTACGAATATTCTATTCGGCATAAATGACGCAAGTTAGCAAAAGCCGACCGAGCCTTCTGTATCCGTGCTGAGATTTCGTCAGTCACCAGACTACCAGCACTGATGCTACTCCCAAGATACGTGACGCGGTCAAAGCTCTAGACTACTCCACTGCCTGTCACTATGTCGGATACCGATGCAACCCAATCTTGAAGCAACATTTTGCATTTCGAGGGTGAGTACCGCATCTCGAACATGCTCGCATTGTTGTCTAAGGTAGTCAGAAGACTGCATTTTGTCAGCGTCTTTAGCAAGTAGAACTATGTCATCGGCATATTCTAAGTCAATAAGCAAGCCTCCTGGTAGAAATTCCACTGCTGAAAATTTAAACGAAGATTATGTTAACCCTAAAAGCATGTCTACGACAAAATTAAACAAGAATGGGGTGAGGCCTGTCGTGCACGGCCCTCTTACGAGTTTTTGGAGTGTTAGCTCCGCTCTTGTTTAAACGGCTTTACCACCGGAGACGGAAATCCATAAAGTAAGGTGAAGTGTGACATTTTTGGGGTCGACTTTTTCTCACTCCTCGCCTTGCGAGAAGGCATCGCTGAAGTTACTGGTTGTCCGAGGGAAGAACATTTTTGCCACCACACCCCTGTACAGCCAGCAGTACGATATCGTCCTCAGACCTTGAATTGCTGCTTTTAGTCATACTGTTATCCAATCTACCTGCGTGACATGGTAGAACATATGTTCCAGAAAATACAGCCCGGTTGTGTCGAAACGATAGGCAATACCGACCACCCAGTCAAGGTATCAGCTACGTTCGGTACGTAAGAGCTTCCACCTCTTCTAGAGCTCCCTCTAATGTGGTTTAGTTGGTACTCGTGTCGTGTTTTGGGGTCTTGCTTTTTCCTTTGTGAAGATTGACGACTGCTGCTGCAGAGGTTACTGCTATGCTGATTGTCTTCACTTGCATTTGTCCCTGTATGTGGGATTTAAGAGTAATTCCATCTGCAAAGTCCAAATCTTCTAGTTGCACGCTGTTCATTGTATTCTGTGCTTCCTCTGAGGTTATGGATGTCTTCATGATCCAATCAGCAACCAAAATGAGGAGGGAAGATAGTTGTTAGCCTTTTCTGACACCGGTCTTTCCTTGAAATGCATCAATGAGCTGCACTTCGTCCATGTAGTTCAATACGTTGCAGGAATTCCATGTAATGGAGAAACTTTTCAGAGACACCATAGTGCCGAAGTAGGTTCCACGAATTTCTACTACACATTTCGCTAATGAACTGTGTCTTTAAATAAGTACCTGATTCCATCTGGTCTCAAAGTTTTCTATCGTTGCACCGCTACTATTTATTGATAAGTGATTTTGCATTCATGAACTCTTCTTGGAATACATATTTAATCAGGGTTGTTTGTCAGATTGGAATCAAAGTTATTTGTGTAAATACAGTTTTGAAGATAAGGTCAAAATTTCTTATTTAGCATGACATTCGAAGCTATCTTGATTGGTCAGAAAAGTCCAACTTTATGTGTTCAAAAACAACTGTATGTTGACTTTTGTTTACCATGGTTCTAGTGAGTAAATATCACGCTAAATAAGAAATTTTGACCTTATTTTCAAAACTGTATTTACACAAATAACATGTTGCTTGTATGTGACTGACGAGAAAGCACGAAATGGTACTATCTCAAAAAATATGTCTTCTCATTTCTCTGTTGGAATCAAAGTGTAAAGGTGAATGGTTCGCAGAATAAACTAATCATTTGATCGATACGAAAAATCCTCAGTTTATTATTCCTATTTTAAAAAAGTAAATTCGCTTTTGTGTAATAAAAGCTCGAATCTGTAGAATTTGCTGTTTTAGAATATTTTGACAATTACAAACCTTATTCAGCATCAGATGAACTTGTAACTATTAAATATTTTGAAATAAAACGTTATACAATTCGCATATCCGACTTATTTCACTGCACCCGACTGTCACTTATGTAGTTGTCAACTTACTTCATACTTTGTAGTACGAACTACTATATTTAACAGCATGATTTTACTGGCCTTTAACAAATATATACGCACATTTTTACTTGCTATACGATATCCTGTGTTTGTTCTGTATAGCAACTAGTTATTATACAGCGTATATCAAGAGACCTGTTGCTCACTGCATCTAGAAAAATACAATTTCACCTAGCGGTACTTTATTGCACTAACGAGTGAAAATAATACACTCGTCACAACAACCTTTTACGGATTTGCAGCCCTTACACCAATTATGTTTTTACCTACAACTAACCAACAGAATGGTGTATCTGTAATGTGATCTACTTATTTGATTGTAAGTCGCTTTTAATTCACAATCTCAGTAAAATATGTTAGCTTTACAGTCCAGGGGAAGATTAGAAAAATGTTAACTTTTGGGACTAACTCACTGATTGTTATTATATATTCTTATCTTAAAATGATAAAATAACTAAATTATCACATATTTATATTCCTTTTTTCATGAGCTCTTAACTAACCCAGTAGCTAGTTTTGTATGATTTACTACTAATCTTTTGCCAGCTTATTATTCATAGCTACTTTTAGCTCGCTCATGTATGGATGATTTTCGCATTCTATGTTTTGGTACATAAACCATGTCTGCTTGAAATATAACAATTTTGTGGAGGTTGCCTACAGACAGGTAGGGTAGAATAAGAAAAGCTATGTAGTCCTGGACCAATAAGGACCGAGAGCTGATTCAGGGGCATTAGTGCTAAGACGTAGTTCTTATCGGTGCTCTTATTTTTCACGTGGTCCATAACAATTGTCCATGGTTTCGTAGCTTTTGCAAAATATGGTGACCAGAATTAAAACAACGCTGATTCACTTAGAACCTGTACGAGAAAAATCTTTGAATTTTTGTTTACAGCCAATTAAATGCTCTACATGCTTCCATACCAGATAAGTGAGTACTGCCTAGCTTATTTCCTACCCGATCAAGGGAGTAAGAAAGTCCTGTTAGCATTTAACGTAATTTTGATACTTTATAATTCGGGCGAAATAACGAAGGGTTATTTTCTTTTTACTATAGATGTCACGGGAAAAGGCTAAAAGCGGTGAACATAATGAAGAACAAAAGTGTCAGTACGCAGTCTTTGTACAAATGGAAAGTCTGAATGAAAAATTGAAACTACTAAATTATGAGAAAAAATTTTGCAAGTAATCACATCTAAGATAATAAGTTATTGGTAGGCGACGACATCAAAAACCTATCACAAGACATTATTTCGCAATTCCGACTAATCCTGGTGAACAGTTTCATTGTTTCACTGCCTTAGCTGCATGGTTGATTTCACAGGTAAACTGTAAAATTGATCAACCACAAGAATATGATGACCCAAATGCAACAATATCAACTATTCTAGATGCTATCAGAACTCTAGGGTATAATGTAGAGTTCCCACCCTTAAAATTGAAAAGTGGATGTGGTGAATATTGCATTAATGTTCTTAATATGCTGGCTGACGCAAGCCTTCAGGTTCAGAATATCAAGCTGTTACCACCTAAATATCCAGAAGATGAAGTGAATGAGTCTGGTGTCCAGGACGACGAGGCATCGCATACTGATGAGGAAACAGAAGAGTGCGTCGGGGCACCAATCGTTAGTCGGTTCAAATATAGTCTACCAGACTGCGATGGATTAGGAAATTGCGAGGAACAAAGTGATGATGATTACGACGATGATGAAGTGATAGATTTAAAAGGTAAATTATTGTTTCTTCATTTTGAAATTCAAATCCGAAGTTTTTCTTCAGTAATGACCAAACTAGCACGTTTAGTCAACAATTTACAAAACTATGTGATCAAAAGTATCACCATATTTTCCATTATTTTAGTTTCATTTTAACTCTCATTTTTTCTAAAGTCAACAAAAGTATGCCTTAAATAAATCCTATTATTTTTTACAAATCATATCTTTCTTCATTAGCAAGAAGCAACATTTCAAAGTAATAAAATACAAAAACCTATTGAATAAAGTCAGAAATAAACTGTCCAGGCCACATAATTTTTAACTTAAACACATCACCACATACACATCCCTCTAAGATATATCTTGACAACCTTACGATGAATTTAATCAACTTATGACCGAAACTGCAGTTACGGCGAGGGTGGACGATTATAAATAAATTACATGACCAATGAAAATGTGACAAATATAGTTACATTTAATCAAAAAACCTTATAACCTGTGAAATATAAACAAATACGTTACTGGACCAAAATAAAGACTAATTAAACCATATTTGGTTATGTAAGAACTCATCGTTTGATTGAGTGTTAAAAAAGTTATTCACAATTAATTACAGGACTTAATCTAAAATCTGCCCAAACTCATAGAACAGATTTGACTGGAAAACAGACAGGACTTAAACCTACAGGCAAAACAGATGAGAAAAGATCAAATAATAATGGAGTCTTGGAATGCTCTACAGACCCAGCAGACTGGAAACTTGAAGTCGAACGAATATTACCACAATTACGTGTCAATGTTCACAGTGATATCAAGGACTGGAGAACTCATCTAGATCAAATGAAGAAACTGAAAATGGAGATCGAAACCACGTTCCAGGATGCTAAATCGCAACTAGTCAGATTACACAACGACCTGAATTCTGATGTTGATAAAATAAATAACCGAGAGAAGTATATGAATAATCAAGTGGAGTCTTTGTTGGCTCAGTACAGAACTGTACAGGTAGGTCACAGGTAACTTTTTATATTGCCTTGAATTGTTTAGAACGTACAGAGAGAAAGCCTTTTAGTTAAACACTGATCACTCCTAAGAACCTTGCATCTAAAACGGCTGATTATAAAAACACGTACTGAATCCTGTGATTTGCGTTTCGTAAAGATATTTTTCTGCGAACTGGTTACAAACTAAAAGTTAACCAATACAAGTTTCCACTTATGTAAGTTTAGTGCACACTATCCAAATAGCTTTCATATACAGAACCATGATTTTATGTAGGTCAATACACCTGTATGTGTATACAGGTTCCTGTATTGATTTATTTATATCCAGACAGAAACAGATGAAATTCGAAAGTAGAGTGCTTAAACCCTTAACCCGCCATTTCAGTCAGACGAATCAATATCTGATTGATAAGCGAAGTTATCAAGCAAACTAAGAATAACTTTTATTAGAATTGTAAAACTCTACAGCATAAGTCTCAGCAGTATTAGGTACCGAGTACTGGGTTAAAGCTAATTTCAAGATGAGGGCATCTAAATAATTAAGATAATTCAGCGTTATCAATGGTATCCACTGTAACACATGAAATTGGACCTCAGAAGATAGTTTGCATACTAACATTCGTGAGTCGAATGTACGTAGTTGAATGAATGAAAATCTCTGTGATTCATTCAATGTAACTGCTCCTGTGATGACCCAATATTTGATTTGTCTGGAAGGTTGATAAGATCTACTATAATGCATCTATTTTTTTATTATCAGTACAATGAAAAATGGTTTGAATTATTTTTTCTGGTTAGCGTGTTTTAGTGAGTTAGTTTTCTACGGGATGGGAAACAACACTAGTTACACGATTGCAATTCAGCAGAAATAATCGTACAAAGTATCCACTGCACTGAAAACGTTAAGATAGTGATATCTACAGTGAAAATTAGTAGCAGTGTTCCAACAAGGGCGGTGCGAATACTAAAGGTTTGATAATGACTATTTAAAATATTCATACTTTTCTAAAAACAGCTTATTTCACAAGTAATGGAAAAAGAAGCGTCTTCCCTGTATACTCAAAGGCGATACTTTACAACTGAGTAATACTGATCTGTGTGCAACCTTATCAATAAAACTTATATTTTCATTATAGGATAACTTGAGGGACATAACTGCCAGGTATCGAGAAGCAAGTAGCGGGATCGCTACTCGAAGTCGTACGCTAGCTGAAATTAGTGAAGAGTTGGAACGCGTCAAAACAGAGATGGACGAGAAGGGTTCAAGCATGACAGATAGTTCTTCTGTAGTGCGTATAAAACAAGCTATTCAACGTCTGAAGACAGAGATTACTACAATGGACATCAGAACTGGTGTTTTAGAACACATACTGCTAAGAACATATTTACGAGTTCGCGAAGATAGTCAAAAACCATTTTCTAAAGTAATCGAACCGTCCAACGTAAATGGGGCATTTGTTTTCTGATTAAATCTGCTTATCTTCCGTGAGACTAAATGCTTTTATGTATTTCTGAAATTTGTTGACTTACTTTGCTTTTTTTGTTATCCAAGACATAAATGTGTAATAGACAATACTTTATAAACAACTGTAACACTACTTCTCGCAACACTTGATACCAACCAGATATAAAAGATAATGAACATGAGACGAGTTAGCTGACGAAGTTTTGAATGCACACATAAATGTGACATATTTGAGCTAGGCAAACTTAAAGACGGCTACCTAGTATTCAATTTTATATTACCTTTTGTTATATAAAGACTAAACTTCGCATCGCAATGAAGATGATTCAACTTGAACAATAGACAACTGAAACATGAAATTAATATAGTTTCTTTGGGACGTAGGTTAGGGGGCCGTGAAACAAGTCTCATGCAGCGTTGCAGTGCGAGTTCGAGCATTTCCCTGAAAAGTCTTTCGCCATCATTTACTACATACATTCCGCCATCCTTAACTGCTGCAGAACTTGCTGATGCTGTAGAAACGATAGATACATACCTTCCCAAAGTCAGAAAGACTGTTCTGAGACGAGTTTTTCTGGTGGATTCATTTGACTGTTACTGTGATAGTTCAACTAAGTCGCATTGCTTGTGGAAGAATTAGGGTAAACTAATGAACGGAACAAGTATCTTCTTTCTTCTGACATAGACGAGTAACCTACGTTGAATGCCCGCCAGTTCATCTTCGTACTGTGATGTTTGCGGCACTGATAGGCTCATCACATACGTTTCGGCTTTGCTGCATAGCACATCATAAGAGTGTAAATCCAGATGAACTGTCATAAGTCGTCCAATAATTCCAAATACGAAAAGAACTTTCATACGAACAGAACACAACTGTAACTTTTAAGGGAAGAGAGTATTCGTGTAGAATAGAATAAAGTTAAGTTAACAGTAAGAGTAGTGATATGATGAGGAATTACATTGGTGACTGAAACGATATTATTTTTAAATAAAAAATCACAGTTTCATTTATTCAAAACAAAAAAGTTATTGTTCGGTTGGGAAGAAAGAAATATAATAAAAATAAAGCCTAATTAGTTTCAAAACGAACCGTCCTGATTGGTAAATAACACACGAAGAAAGTAACATAAGTAAAGTTATTGATGAATAAAACACATGTACAAAGGAATAATAAGACAAAACCACCATCCGTGCAATACTAATTTTCCAATGGAGCAATAGTAGTAAAGATGGCAGTTTTTACCATTTTCACTGCTTCGCCGGCCTTATTAATATACAAACGATCTTTCATACTAGGTAATGATTGATCGTTTAATTTTAACATATCACCTTCATCATGTGGACAGTAGTGAAATGTAATACATTCCGGGAAACGACGATTCGAGGTAATTTTTACCACCATAGATAAAGGAATTGATCGATATACAATGGCATGTTTTTGAAGACTTGTAGCTGGTTTTTGAACAGTCGAATATTCAGTTGATCTCGAATATGTTTTGCTAAAAACAGACTGCAAAGTAGAACTAAGAGAGTTAATGAGTTGGTTAGGAAGTCGAGGAGTAGGATAGCGTAATAAAATCAAATGACGTTCTGCTAAAACAAGTAAACCACTATCGCCTAACTGACCATTAGGCTTCAAAAACCGAGTAGAAAATACACCTCTTACTTCAGGTCGTCTAGACCACCGGGAAGTATCAATTAAATCCCCGACTTCGCAACTATCCATACCATCAGTTCGAGAGGGAGAATCTCCATCTATATCCGGTGAAACTTGTGTAGACGCCTTAACAAAACGTTCTAACCAAGTTGACTGTTCAGATAACGTCTCATTTCTTGTTTCTTTTGTGGAGTGATTGGGACTGTTTGTAATAGTCTCTGTTTCATCTTCACACAAATCGTCTTCATCAAATTCATCGTCAATACTGAATACAGATGATGTATTTCTGTAGGCAACAGGTTTCTTTGTTACTTTACTCTGAACAGGCTGGTATGTAGAGGTTATGGGAGTTTTTGGTGTTTTTGTTTGGATTGAACTTGCACCTGAAAGTTTCAAAAGCTTTGGTACTTGGTCCAAACTGCGGCCAGTGTTAAAAACAGCACTCGACAATTTTGAGAATAAACCAACACTCACAGTATTAACTGATTGTACTCTCGCTTTTTCATTTATTAGACATGATGGCTCCATTTTACTGTCGGGAGGAATCAATGGAGAAATGAAACTTTTTGCGCCGATACATCCTAAACATATTGTAGGTTCGTGACCAATTAAACTTCTTCCAACTTCATAAGCACCTAAGACATCGTGCAAAGCCGCATATCCACCTTCAATCAAACTGATATATGGTGTGTTTTGCCGGAGAAACTCAGCTACAACCATATTAGCTAACTGATCTTCTTCCTTTCTTCCGGTGCTTAAAAATGTGATGTGCTTCCCAACAGCATACGAACCAGCAGCAAGTGATCGTTCTTGAGTTGATAATAAAAACTGTTAAGAAAATGAAAGTATACAGTTTGATTATGAGCCAGCTCAAAACTTTATCAGTATGATTATTTGTAAAGAAGTGATAACGATTATTTTGGTTTAGTTCAACAGTTCAGGTAACCAATCGGTACGAACAAAAACGAAGCTTTATGATGATTCCGAGGAATGTCAGTCAGTCAGTTACATGGCAATAAATGTAAAGTGACACTTCAGAACTGCATTCAGTACAGCTGAAATCCAAATGTTCCCTCTATATGTGCTTTAGATCCCAACAAAAATCACAATTAACGAGAAACTTAACACAATATTTTAATTCAATTACACCTCTTAACAGTATAAAAAGATCAATGAGAGCAATTTTTAAAATAAAAATAAACTAGAGAATTATATGAATCCAATCAGTCAGTTACAAAGTAGAAATTCGTACGCATGTACATCAGTTCAAGTTGCCATACCACACTAGCACACAGACGCAATTGTCAATTCAAACCCCATAGTGGTAGATATAATAGAAGTATAATTCAGTGAGATAACTTTAGAAAGACGAAGGTAGAGGTATTGACGAGCGACCGTAGCTGCTACATTGACGTGGAGGTCGGGCTTTCCTATCGTGACGACCCAAACGAGCTATACTGGCTGTAACGTTGCTTAAGACATATGCACGCCTACACCTTGAGGTTCACAACGTTGTCACACCCTCTCCTTAAAAGAGACATAAATCTCCTGAACGGAGTTCACAGAAGAGCAGCGAAATGTGTGATAGGGTTGCAAAAACAACTTATGAAGATGAACTCCAGCATTTGGGATTATTCCCCTTAAATTACAGGATAATCAGAGGTGATCTGATCATAGCGTACAATATATTAAGCACGCCAAACCATCCCAACGTGAGCATCTTACCGATGCACCACCACCACCACTTCCATCAAGGCAATCCTCGAAAAGTTGCGTATGGAAGAGCGGACACTCAGGTTCGTGCACAATTTCATAATCCAGTCGACCACCAAGAGAAAGAGAAAGGGTGAGAGTAAACAGCCTTGTTTAACACTGGTCTTTGCTTGGAAAGAATCTGTGGGCTGTCTTCCACACATCATTTCTCAGTTTAGTACATCCTAATAATTTCGTATTACGTTGAATATCTTCTCAGGCAAGCCGTAGTGTTGAAGAAGCCTCCATTGTGTCATCCTGTCCACGCTGTCGAATGCTTTCTCGCAGTCGAGGTAGTTGATGTAGAGTGGTCAATCCCGTTCAATCAACTGTTCTACAATGATTTGCAGTGTGACGTTTCGGCCGGTACATGATCAATCCTTACGGAATCCAGCCTGCTGATTTCGAAGTTAGGTTTCCACATAATCCTTCATTCTGTCCAACAACACTGTTGAAGACATTTCCTGGATTCGAGAGTAGAGTGATCCCTCTGTACTCCTGACACTTGCCGAGACCTCTTTTCCTTCGAATCATGATGAAGTGTCCTACATTTCAGTCTGTTGACACTTGTTCTTCATCCCAAGTCTTGCTAAAGAGAATGTCGGACATCTTTGTAGTTTCTTTTATGTCGGCTGGAATGCTTTCTGGTACTGCCATTCTGACGGACATGCTGATTTCTTCAGTTGTTGATGGGTCAACATTAATTGGGAGGTCTGTAGGTGCTTCTGTGATGATGAGTGGGTTCAATGGGGCTGGTCTATTGAAGAGTCCTTCAGAGTGCTCTAACCAAGTGTTTCGCTATTCCTCTAGGTCGGTGATTGTTTTGCCTTCCTGGTTTACCATGTTTTCTAGCGAGGTTATTCGTCGTATTGCAAGGTCATTCGCTGCATGAATACCTATTAATTCTCAGAAAATGACTTAAATGTGCTTACAGCTGTGAGTATATTCCACTACACAAGTGAGACTATAGAAGCCCTAAATGTTTAACGGTTTTATTGTTGAGCCTACTAACTACACCCCGTTACTTGCATATACTTTACAGTAATATTGTCCCCGTAAATTTAACTAATTTGAATCATATCTAACCCGAACATTAAAACATAAAATAACCTTGTATTTGAATTATGGTAGACTTGATAGACTTGACCGACCTATCGTTGCAATTACTGCTTTCGTTCTTCCGTGCGCTATTTCGGTTTTATTTTCTTTAGTTGTAGATAATAACCAATGTGCTACGGCACTGGAAACGACACTAAACATACCGTAAGTAGAGAGAATGAACAGAGCCATAAGAACAAGGTCCTCGGGGTTAAAGATCCAAGCCAGATTCTAATTAATCATTGATTAAATTCAAGCTAATGTCTAACTTTCCCAACCACCTATTCTTGATAAACCAGTACCCCAAACAACAAACTATTTAAAATTAACCTTAGTACTAAGAATGAGAAACAGGTGAAATGGAATACGATGGTGATAATACTGAGGCTGTAAAATGTAGTTAAAAATACACTTGTTTTCTTAATGCAGCTATAATTATATTTACGAAAGCTGTAACCCAAACTAACCTTGATGGCATTTTGAAATTTTTGAGGTTCGGACATAATCAAAGATGAGTCCAAGAAAAAAGCAGTTGGCAAGTGCCCGGCATTATATTGATCGGCAGGACGACAATCCACAAGAAGATAACGAAGATCGGATGTCGGGTGAGATGGATCGTCTGATATTGTAATGGAGGAATTACTTAGACCATAATCTTGTAGGCACATTGATTGGGCATCTAGGACTTCTTGAATAGCGATTGGCATGCATAAGGCATCGGATAAAACCGAACGCTCTGATTCAAGTTCGGCGTTACCAAAAAGTATAGGAAGGTATCGAGATCGAAAAGAAATAGGTGTATTGTTGATGAAAACCTCTATAATATCAACTAAGCTTGTCAAATCACCAACACACATCGGTTTAGGAAGATTAATTATTAAATTCCTAACCTTTTCTGAAAGCAAGAAAAAGAAAATCACTCAACAGTAAAAAGTACACCATTGAAACAATTAAAAATGATAATCTGTCTTACCATCTACACTGAATTTTATGTATATGTAACGACGTGTATTAAACATTGTGCTATTTCAGAAATATTCAGCTATGATAAAATAATAGATGAGATGTTCACTACGCTTTGTAAGATTGTACTGGTAACAAACTACAAAAGGTTATTTCATACAGCTTGAATTACACCTTGCGCTGAATTATGCTGCTATTTAAAAAATATCTTAAATGATATAATCGATTTGTTCGATAGTCGTCCGCAGACGCGCTATTAGGAATTACTTATGGCGTGGAACTTGTAGTTCTGCTAAGCAGACAAAACATGTGGAGTCAAAGGAATCAAGAGTGAAGTGGGTGCTCATGGATGATATTGAATAATGAATACCGTACACCAAAAACTAAATAAAGTTGGATGATAAACTACCAAATCAACATTTGAATTATAGTGTTTGCCAAGAAATATGAATATATTTGGTCTTGTCATATATGAAGTAAAAAGGGTGAGCTACCAAATAACCTTTTCGAATAAACAAATTTTATTTAAAGTCTGATGTGTATTAAAAATTAGCTATTCTTATTGACTTTATTTGATTATATTATGATCAACAAAGTCACAATGACAGCTACTTAGTAAATTGTAAATGCAACCTAGGATCCCTTGCGCAATTTGTTGTTTAAGAAATGATTCAAATAGAGAAACTAAAATAGGTACGCGATCTTTGGATCGACGACTCATTAGCATAAAGTTTGGAACCTGGAAAATTAAACCATACTTTGACCTGAGGTTAAACGATTTTGTACTGACTACAAGTATGAATCCATTCATATTTGAGTGAAAAATTTGAATAGAAAATATTCAATGTTTATACTTACCGACAACAGTTTGATTACTAGCAGACAACAATGAATTTTTTGTATTTGAATCATTTTCATTATCCTTAATTTTGTCTAACTGTTGGTCAAGTAGGGCGGACTTTGCATTTATGATAAGTAGTAGACCAATAAAAAAACCAAACAAAGGATCTGATTTTAAGAAGTACACATCCCATAGCGATGGTATTACATCTTCTGATATAAAATCCGCGAAAAGACTTGATATCCAGGGTATGAAGTAAATGTCAGGACTAATTTTTAATGAATCCAAAAAACTGCATAACTTTGGTTCATGATATTGTAATAACAAACGGAAAACTATGCTTACACACTGATCAATATTTACTCCTGTGGCAACAAAACGATGGTAAAAAGAAACAAAACTCGCATACAGTTCTGACCGGTTGTTAGGTTTAAGGACACTGAATAATACTTTAAGTATCGATACCCAACCGTTGTTTGAATTATACTTCAAACAATACGCATGGGCGAAATGTGTTAAAACGAATTCCAAATCACTGGATATCTTTGTAGCTGGTGGAAGGAATGTATTTAGGGATGACGATTCTATATCTGAGTCATCATTTTCACTGTCTATTGATAGATTAGACAGATTTTTTGACTGTTTAAGACAATGCTCTTTCGTTAGCCGATGATATAATTCCTCGGAAGCTAATTCACAATCTTTGCGGAGTTGTGACTGGTTCTCCAATTCAAAATCATCGTTAGACGTAGCCAATGTTTGTGATTGAGTATCCAGCCTAAGACATATGCGCCAAACGTCAGGACGCAGATTGTCAGGGACGGGACGCATGGCACAAATATCACGGATTCGAAAAATGTCAGCATCCTCTGCAAAAAAGCAAGCGGAAAACCCGATAAAGCCAAAATAAATAAAAACAAAAGTCATTAAAAAGGAGTAATGGTCTTCCAGTGTATATTTCTTAAAAAGTATTTAAAGTATATCTGCACCTCATTTCGTCAAATTTGATCATCATTTTAGACATTAAAACCCGGAATGACGTTTCGTGAACTTGCATCGTTTGCAATTGCGGTGCAGTGAGAAAAGGGACTGTGAGTAGAGTTAGTTATGGAGAGAAGAGAGGTATGTGTGGGTGTCGCTTGCTGTTACCGGTATGAGGGTGGTTGTCACTTCTCGGCTGCCCACACCGTGGAAGGTTGTTTCTTGAGGAACCTGAAAAGGAAGGTAGATTAGTGTCGGTCTTAGAGACCTGGTTGCGTGACCGCAGAGTCCAAGGGACAACTGCTTGAGGCCAGTCATGCATTTTTGTGAAAGGTTTTTTGAGTATTAGCTCCTCTCTTAAAAGCCCTTATTGGGCAACCTTACCGACGGAGACGGAAATCCGTGAGGTAAGGTGGAGTGTGACATTTTTAGGGTCGACCTTTTCTAACCCTTCCTTCCTTGTGAGAAGGCAGCATCGCTGCAGATGCTGGTTGTCCGAGAGAAACACATTACTGCGGTCAGCAGTACGACTTCGTCCTCAGACCTTGAGTAGCTGCTTTTCGTCTCATCGTTCTCCAATTGACCTGCCTGGCATGGTAGAACCTTCAGGAACATATGTTCCAGCCAGTATAGCTCGGTTGGGTCATCACGATAGGAAAGCACGACCACCACTTCAAGGCCCGACCGTAGCTGCTACCATGATAACCGCCTATTCTTAGCGAACACCAACTTTAGGCTTAAGGAAAAGCATCTCTTGACCTGGCGACCCCCGAAGTCGTCTCAACGTTGGACTCAACTAGATCACATCGCCATCAGCCACCGATGGAGGGGTTCGATAGAGGACTGTCGCTCGTTCTGGGGCACATGTTTGGATTCAGATCATGCCCTAGTGCGAGCTCGTATCTGTTTGAGACTTACTGGGCGTAGGAAAAACACCGTAAGAAAGCCTCTTAGGGTTTTACTTAGTGATAATAAGGCGAAAAATATATTTCAGGAACAACTAGAAAGACAGTTAGGCGACCATTTAAGCGATTCCCATCCAGAAGCAGGTTGGTATGATACCAAAAAGGCTGTGGAAACAGCAGTGATATCTGCTAGTAAGGTAAACCATAAGGCTAGAATGAAGCCGTGGATCTCAGTAGCATCCACCGATCTGATGGATGCCCGAAAACTCATCCCACCTGGCTCTCAACATGATGAAGAACGAAGTCAGCTTAGGCGCAGGCTGATAAAAAGCCTACGCAACGACCGTGAACAGTGGTGGCTGGCGAAAGAAAGCGATGGAAAAGGCAGCGGCGATCGGCAACAGTAGACAACTTTTCCGCCTTATTAAAGAAACTGGTATTAAGAACCCGGATGTGAGTGAGACTATCTCGGAAAAAAAATGGTCTTATTATCCATTCTCAATCCAGGAGACTGGATCGATGGGCAGAGCACTTTAGGGATCAGTTCAACTGGCCACGAGCCACTCTTCGGGTACCCACGATCTCCAGTCATCCTGAATGGCAAATCGACCTAAGTCCCCCTAGTCTTAATGAAGTTGAAAAAGCGTTGGGAAATCTGAAACAAGGACGAGCTGTGGGTCTTGATAGACTGACCCCTGAGATATTTAAGGATGGTGGTCCAGTTTTATCTGCTAGGTTGACTGAGATCTTATGTAGAATCTGGGAACTGGACGTAATCCCATCCAACTGGTCTCAATCACTGATTGTCCCAATCTATAAGAAAGAACAAAAGTCCTCTTGTGACAATCACAGGGGAATAAGTCTAACTAATATAGTTTCTAAAATATTGGCCTCAATAATACCCCGACGCTTAACAAAAGCTCGTGAAGAGCAGACTCGAGAAAACCAGGCTGGTTTTCGACCTGGACGTGGTTGCATAGACCACATCTTCACACTACGACAGGTCCTGGAACATAGACACACATTTAGGCATCCTACAATAGTTGTTTTCCTGGACCTTAAGGCGGCATTTGACTCTGTGGATCAAGAGGTTCTGTGGCAGTGTCTGTCATCGAAAGGTGTACCAAAGAAGTACATTAACCTTATACAAGCCCTTTACTCGTACACCACTGGTCGAGTGAGAGCTTATGGCGAACTGTCACCGGAATTCTTTACTTCAAGTGGTGTCCGTCAGGGATGTCCACCCTCTCCATTCTTGTTTAATTTTATCATAGACATGCTCCTAGAAATAACCGTATCGTCGTCTGAATTTTCAGGAGTAGACCTTTTACCAGGTGGCTCGCTTATTGACTTAGTATATGCCGATGACATAGTCCTACTTGGTGAAGATGATGACAAAATGCAGCGTCTTCTGACTACCCTAAGCAACAATGCAAGCATGTTCGGGATGCCGTTTTCCCCCTCGAAATGCCAAATGTTGTTTCAAGACTGGGTTTCATCGGCACCTGAAATAGTGATAGGGAGTGAAGTAGTCGAGCGTGTAGACCGCTTCACTTATCTTGGGAGTCTCATCAGTGCCGATGGCCTGTTGACTGACGAAATCTCAGCTCGGATACAGAAGGCTCGATTGGCTTTTGCCAACCTGCGTCACTTATGGCGTAGGCGTGATATCCATTCTCTAATCAAAGGACGAGTGTACTGTGCAGCAGTTCGCTCCGTTCTCCTATACGGCTGTGAAACATGGCCAGTGAGAGTTGAAGATATTCGTAGGTTACTGGTTTTCGATCATAGGTGTCTTCGAAGCATTGCTCGTATATCGTGGGACACCCGAGTGAGCAACGCTGTTATTAGGAATCGGGTGCTAGGTAAGAATGGCAGATAAATAGATGAAGTAATGAAACTTCATCAGTTGAGGTGGTTGGGACATGTATTGCTTATGCCCAACCACCGACTGCCTCGTCGAGCTTTGTTTTGTAGTGTAGGAATAGGTTGGAAGAAAGTTAGGGGCGGCCAAACCAAAACATGGCAGAAATCTATGAAGTCATTGACAAGTGGACTTAGCCATATCGGTAATTGTCGACTACCTGGTTGGGGTCCGCGAGATGATAATAATCGATGGTTAGAGACCTTGAATGACATGGCTCAAAATCGTTCGCAATAGCGCCGGTGCATTTATTCTTTGTGTTCTCTCAAACCCTAATCTTCTGGATTCTTCAACCCCTCTAGTTTTGACTTTCTAAACTTTTCTCATTGAATCATACTTCTTGAATAATATCTTCTCATCCTAACCTCTTCGATTACTTCTAATACCCTTACTAACTCTTCTACTATTGGATTTGAATTGACAATTATATCTCTGCTGATGTGGTCTGGCGACATGAACTGATGTACTTACGTACGAAGTTCTACGTTGCAACTGACTGACTGACTGACCACTTCAAGGTAGCAGCTTCGGTCGGGAATGGAACTCATCGCTCTACATCAACTACCTCGACTGCGAGAAAGCATTCGACAGCGTGGACAGGATGACACAATGGAGGCTTCTTCAACACTACGGCTTGCCTGAGAAGATATTCAACGTAATACGAAATTATTAGGATGTACTAAACTGAGAAATGATGTGTGGAAGACAGCCCACAGATTCTTTCCAAGCAAAGACCAGTGTTAAACAAGGCTGTTTACTCTCACCCTTTCTCTTTCTCTTGGTGGTCGACTGGATTATGAAATTGTGCACGAACCTGAGTGTCCGCTCTTCCATACGCAACTTTTCGAGGATTGCCTTGATGGAAGTGGTGGTGGTGGTGCATCGGTAAGATGCTCACGTTGGGATGGTTTGGCGTGCTTAATATATTGTACGCTATGATCAGATCACCTCTGATTATCCTGTAATTTAAGGGGAATAATCCCAAATGCTGGAGTCCATCTTCATAAGTTGTTTTTGCAACCCTATCACACATTTCGCTGCTCTTCTGTGAACTCCGTTCAGGAGATTTATGTCTCTTTTAAGGAGAGGGTGTGACAGCGTTGTGAACCTCAAGGTGTAGGCGTGCATATGTCTTAAACAACGTTAGGAATGATCTTGGGTAGATAGCACCAAGTTGTCTTCACATAAAGTGAAGAGTTGAGTTAGCCTTGGCTGCGTCCCTTATTTAGTTTGAACTGGTGTGGAGGCTTTCAGTGGTCATTAAACCGAGATAGCGCTCAAAGATATTAGAGAGCGGGTTTCCGTTGAGTGTGTAAGTCGTTTGCGTCAGGTGGGGCAGAATGTACACAACCTGATATTTCGACTGGTTTATTTTTAATCTGCTTTTCCCTGCCTAATCGTCAATTGATGTAAGGTCCTTTCGAAGCTCAGTCGATTCGTTTTCGCTTCTAATGAGTGCATCAGACTTTGAATAGCAACCCCATACTTCAAAAAGAGCAAACTTACGAGTGTCGATTGAAAATATTATTAATTATATTATGCGGTTGGTTTTTTCTGACCACATACTTTATGTCATAAGTTATTTTGTTATCACCTATTTTCTGGCATACACATTTGTGGTATAACATGTTGTCAAATATGAGAAAATTCTATATTTTCAGCCGTATTAGCCTTGCATGTTTTTGCGCATTTTCATCCCCTAGTATAAAACTAGGGTCTTCTAATTACAGAAAAATGATAGTGGAAGCAAATGATTACCTGAGTGTAGCTAGCCCAGTAAGCTCACTGACACAAGAATCTACGTTGTACGTTTTACAGAACAACTGAGTTTCAAATCAAACTTATGTTAACTAACCATTCTGAGATAAGATATAATTATACTCAATCACCGGATAGTCGGGACGTTATCTGTTACCAAGATATTTCCCTCTCGTAAATAGTATAAAAGTTAAAGAGACAAGAAACTTCGGCAAAAATACATTTCAGATTACCCAACAATGCGATCTCAAGATTAACCTTCCAAGACTCATCCACTTCAGACGCATCGGACGAATCTGACATCGTAGATAAGCAAATCCGAAGAGCGCCACAAAGGTTATATAAGTTCTGTGTCCAATAACTATACCCCGCATCTGCAAATCATTACATCGCTTTTATGCTTTTTCATTAACTTTATACTACATTCCCTAACTTAAATCTACGTTAACTGTCGTGCTGTCACAGTGAAATTCTGCTTGAACTCGTTTTTTACAGTCAGCGACATATGTTCGTTAACATTTTAGGGTGATCCTTATGACAAATGTATTACTAACTGTGATTTCACACTATCACCTTATACTTTTTTTAATACTGTGATATTATTTCATGCGCCCCGAAGTTTTTCGGATGTTTATATCTTTTGTCGCTCTTCAAGGGTAAGACTCTAAGGTCTCTCACCTTCCAACACCATTCTGGTTTGATAGTGTCAAACCTGCAAAGCAGAAGCTGTATTTCCCAGGCATGATAAGAAGAACTCACGTGCTTGATTCCTTGCATTTTTAAAGACATTATTAATAGATTTTAACGGTTACACTGTTCCTAGTGTATGGTGCTAGTGAAACTTCCAAATTGACAACACATTGAAAGAAGCCATTTTTGAACGTTCGTCTGCTGGTGCATCATGTCATAATGACGTCAATGCATACGACAGTATGATTGAAAGGTACAATGTAGAGACTCAGCCAGGTCCAAACTGTCGTGCGTGGAATGCACTTCCAGAACTCCCTGAGTATACTCCAGTGTATTATTAAGGCTTTGCTAAGTACCGCACTTTGGTAAAGGGGATGTTTCTAGATGATTATTTAAATGAAGAGATAAAATTAAATAATCGGTCTAGTAAATGATTTTCGTTCATAGATTTGGTAGGCCAAATATAATCATCCTGAGAGTAATTGAATTAGTTAAGGAGGCAGGACGTCAGATGAAGAATGACGCTAATGAGTTAGCTCGTTTCTGGAATAAAATAATATTGTACAGGATGTGGTGACAGGAGATGGAATCGATAGGCAGAACACTTCAGGGATCAGTTCAAGTGGCCTTCGGACACACTTCAGTTGCTCACGATCTCCAGTCGTCCTGAATGGAAAATCGATATAAGTACTCCGAGTCTTAAGGAAGTTGAAAAAGCTAATAGAAATGTGAAGCGAAGAAAGGCAACATAGCCTAACATGTTTATACCTGAGATTATTAAGGATGGTGATACAGTTCTAGTAGTTGGATTAACTGAATTCTTAGGTAGAATTTGGGAACTAGATGTAATCCCATCTGAATCATTTCACTCAGTGATTGTCCCAATTTATAAGTAAGGACAATAGTCCTCTTGTGACAATCACAGAGGAATCAGTTAAACTAATATTGTATCGAAAACATTGGCCTCAATATTGCCCGGCCACCTAACTAGAGCTCGCGAAGAGCAGACTAGAGAAAACCAAGCTAGTTTTAGACCTGGACGTGGATATATAGACCAGATATCAACACTATGTCAGGTCTAAGAAGTCTCACCAGGAGTCTCATCAGTGCTGATGGCGTGGTGAGTGATGAAATCTCAGCTCGGATACAGAAGTCTCGATCGGCTTTTGCCAACTTGCGTCACTTAGGCGTAGGCGAGATATCCGTCTGCTAACCAAAGGACGAGTCTACTGCGCAGCGGTCCGCTTTGTTCTACTATACGGGTGTGAAACACGGCCAGTAAGAGTAGAAGACATTGGTAGGTTATTAGTATTTGATTATGGATGTCTTCAAAGCATTACTCGTATACCGTGGGACAACCGAGTAAGCAATGCTGTCGTTAGGAAACGGATACTAGGTAGGAATGGCGTATCAATAGATGAAGTATTGAAACTTCATCAGTTGAGGTGGTTAGGAGATGTGTTACTTATGCCTAACCACAGACTGCCTTGATGTGCTATGTTTTGCAGTGTAGGAGTAGAATGGAAGATAGCTAAACATGGCCAGATCAAAACATGACGTAGATCCATATAGTCACTGACAAGTGAACTGGGTCATGTATGTAGGTGTCGACTACCTGGTTGGGGTCCGCGAGACGAAAGTCACCGATGGTTACAGACCTTGAACGACATTGCTCAGAATCGCTTGCAATGGCGCAGGTGTATCCACTCTTTGTGTTCTCATGTTCTGAATTCCTCATAATCTCTACCGTTCTCCTTCTAAATTTATCTTACTGAATTATACTTCTCGAATCATATCTTCGCTCCCCAATCTTCTCCAATGCTGCTATTATTATACTATCGCTTTCACTCTTGGATTTGAACTGACAGTTGCGTCTCTGTGCTGATGTGGTATGGCAACCTGAACTGATGTACTTATGTACGAAGTTCTGCATTGTATCTGTCTGTCTGATGAGTTCCATTAAATTCAAATCTCACAATGGTGGAGGTTGGTGCAGTATTAGCGGTAATCTATAAGATTAGGGTTCGAAGATATTATTCATGAATTATAATATAGTATGATTACTTAAGAACGAGAAATTTAGAGATGATGGAGAATTCAAAAAATTACAACATAACAAATGATGGATGCGGTAGCGCGACCTGATATGACGTACGCATGTACAAAGTTATATGTTGTAACTGTCTGACTTACTGACTGACTGACGGAGATGAAGAAGGATGCGTCCAATCACGAAGAGAAAGTGGACATGGACATCGAAACGGATTTAGAAGATCATATCAGTGCATAATCTGGGTGTTCGTTACTCCAGAAGTCGAACAATTGAAGAACACGCCTCTACTATTATCTCTAAATCTAGACGGTCGATTGGGTTAATAAATAATAACTTCTTGACAAATGAGGCTACGCTTACACTCCTCAAAATGTGTATAAGTACATACCTTGAATACCGTTCACTTACCTTCTCTAACTTGAATGTTACCAGCAGGAAATTTCCAAAGAAGCCTCACACGGAGACTATTAGAATAGAACCATACGCTTGGCTACACAGAAAGAAGTGAACATCTTTCCCTAGAACATCGTCTGTTGAAAAGCAACGTAATACTCCTCTATAAAATAATGTATGGCCTCTCGTCCCTAAAATACCTCATAATCATGAACAACAACACCGCTTACAGACTTCGAAACAACGAATAAACACTATTTGCTGCAAAACACAGAGTCATTACGTTGTAATTTCTCAGTAGTATGATACAGTCTATTGTGGAACAGATTACCAAGTACTACCCGTATCTGTGACAAAATCACCAGGTTCAAGAAACTAATATTGCTGTTGTTAGACTCGAAAAAGGTTTATCAACTTTTCCCAGAACTCACACAAAATCTCAAGTCAATCTTTCATGGTCCACCGTATATTTAGATTAACCTCAGAAACTGATAACGGACCATGAATATATTGCACCCGCATTTCCATCCATACAGGTATTATGAAATGATTGATGAATACCGATGCTCCTACTAACAGTAGTAGGTCATGCCATTGAGATGCTACCCGTAACACTCAGAGTTTTCTCGAAATTAAAACCAGAAAAATTATCTTCTTATTCTTCACAGCACTTTTAGATTTTATTTCTGGTAGACAGACAAATTGAAAAGACTGTAGATGCTACTCAACTACTGTCAATTAAAAGGAACTCAAACTTCCAGTATAATTGTGAGTTCCTTCTTGTTCACGCATTAACAGTTAAATAAATTTTTATTCCTCGGATTCATTAACATCCGAACATCTTGTGTTTTACTCACTTATCGCCCTACTCATGAATTTTTAACTCTATTTCTTTATTTTCATGCATCAGCTGCCTTTCCTTCCTATTTCTTAACTACTTATTATCTGACCGGTACCTTACAATTTATACCATTAGTCAACTGTGATATGCTACATGGATATTTGGTCCAACATACAAAAGCCAAAGTTGTCCGGTTTGCTTGATACTTGGAGCCAGTAGAGAAAGTGTATTCAGACAAGGTGTACAAAAAATAAAGCTCTAACTAAAAGACATTAATTAAAATCTACTGTTAAACGCAGGAGGGCCAAACATCACAAAAGGAGGTAGGGCAGTGTATCTGACCAGCATTCATGACGGTGAAACGATAACCTCAATCCTATCATTTTTTTGGGTGAGAAGATTTTGTTTGCTTCGAGATCTTTTTGATTGGTAAGGCGACCAGTCAGTGATACCGAGGTTGATTTTATATGCTTGCGAATTCTAAGACTCACGTTTCTATAATGTGCTAGGATCGCTGTTCTTCCTGGAAAAACTGCAAAATGCTTAATCAGGCACTTACAGTATGGTTTGTTTGCCATGTGACTTAAAAAAATACATAATAAACAACGTAAGTATCAGTGTTTTTCACACAATCTACCGTTCTTGAATTTTCAGTTTCAATAGGCCGGTGTACTATAACTTATTTTAATTTTAGTAGTCTGCATGAATTTTATCTTCTGACTTAACATTGCTCTTTCCGCTATACTGTGAACGGTTAAGCAATTCTCTGGTTGTGTAGACACAAATACCTCGTTACTCCTTTCTTATCTCTAAGAACCCTATCAGCAGTGGAACAACCATGATGCTTCTACGTAAAATCCACCTTATATACATGTTCATCAGGGTTACGGCCTATACCAAGTTTCTCTCGCTCTAAACTTTCCAACAAACTCACTCCTGAAATATTGGTCGACACAACCCAACAATTCTGTTGCCCAATTACCTTAGCTGTAACCACTTGCTGCTAAAATGTCTGTGTCATACAGTTCCCGTCGGTCACATCATTCTAACTGTGCAGCATTTTACGGCAAGAGTAGTAGAATTTTTAACGATTTTATCTTGCCTGTAACATAGCATGCCTCTTGTGACTCGTTATAATTATTATTCTGCTCTTCTATACCGATCAGCTAATTTTGGCTGGTTATCATCTTGTGTTTTAGTGATAGATGAATTGAAACTTTCACAAATTTTGCGAATACTCTCAACCTTTATACATTTGCGACAGACATAACGAAAGAGACATGGGTTACAAAGATGTAGTTTACCATATGGAAGGCAGGGATTAAC